ATATTGAGGTGTTCTTTGGCAGTGACCCTTAACGTTCTCAGTACATGTATTCCTAAATTGCTATGTGTGTCAAAAAAAATCACCATTTATTATTACTTTATTTAAATGGTGGTAAAATGGTTGCATGAAAAGAGTCAAAATACCCCAAGTTTAATACCTTAAGTTGTCTTTTTAAATAAATATATATATACATGTGAAGAGTTATTCAGGGATTCCTGACAGATATCAGTGTTACAATGTAACTTTGGTTAATTTAAAAAAAAAAAAAAAGGGTTTGGAAAAAGCAAAGTGCTGCTTGTACTTATTGCCCTATAACTTGAAAAACTCAGGACAAAATTTAGAAACTATTTAGCATGGGTATTTTTTGGCAGTTGTATATGCGTAAAAGATTTTGGGGGTCAAAGTTAGAAAAAGTGTGTTTTAAAAAATAAATAAATCTATGATTATATTTATACATATATATGTAAATTATATGATATAATAAAAATAATGGTATCTTTAGAAAGATCATTTAATAGTGAGAAAAACGGTATATAATATGTGTGGGTACAGTAAATGAGTAAGAGGAAAATTACCGCTAAACACAAACACCGCAGAAACGTAAAAACAGCCCTGGTCCTTTACGGTAAAAAAAATTGAAAAGCGGGGTTAAAGATTTAGCAAATAACATCTAATTGAGTTCAGTTCAGGTGCAGTCAGGAAACATATTCAACAATGATTGACATGGAGCTAAGATGGAGGCGCCCAGTTGTAGAATAAACACATGTACATTTCTACCTTTCATTTTATTTTTCACAAACTCACAAATAGCTATTTGTTCAATATGGGGCATTAGTAATCATTCTATTAAAAATAAAGGGGAATTACATTTTAAATTCAAAGCAGCAAAATCATAAAATATGCAAATTTACCTGGTCTAGTGTCTAGTGGACACTTTTTCATTTCCTGTACTACACAGGAACTCCACATTTATTTATAATTGGAGACTCCATATAACTCCTCATTGCCAACATTTTGATAAGACCAGCAATGTATTTTAAAAGGTAACAATAACTTAGAAAGAGAAAAAACAGAATATCCTCAAAAAGGTCATCTGACTGAACGTGATCAACTTGAGGTTCAGCATTACTTCCCTTGTCCTACATTCAATGTGACATGGGGGACCGCTTAACCCCGAAGATATTCCTTTGTATCCAGAGAAGTGATGTCATATAGAGATGTAGAGTAGTGCAGCCATTATAAATGTCAAACACTGCATCTACAACAGTCAATTAAACATGACAGAGGTTAAAATATGTCAGGCCACATGAAACTTGAGGAAGCACTACATAGCAATATCTTCAGGTCAATAAGCTGTAGGTAGCTAATTCTTTAGTCTCTGCGGTAAAAGCAGCTGGGAATTGAGGATATTAAAACCTTTGCAATAAATCAAGCACATTATGCTGTATGTAGAAATGTATGCAGACCTATCACTTTCTTCCTTCGATAGTTGTAAACACAGGGGAAACACAATATACCTTTGTGTTACATGTTGAAAAGTAAATGGATTCAACACAATTATGAATATTATTCAAGAATCATATGTGGGAAGGACTAAGGTATTTAATACTAATAAATACAAACAGATAGAACAGTTTGTGAGTTTTTTTTAAGTACAATTTTTTGAACAGGACAGCTCACTGTTTTTAAATAATAGATTTTTATTACTGGAACCTTAACTCAATGAGTCTAGCACTAACTCACACATTTTGCAATGTAAAATTGGTGGAACCAAATAGTAATACTTTTGACTTCACATTATGATGACCATTGTGGTCGTTGCAGAAACAAAGTATCATTTCATTTTCGTAGCTCCTCTCTATCGCGGCGGAATGTGGAAGATATAGAACTTCGGTGTTAATATAAATGATAGTGTGCAGCCATTACTGAAGTTTACACATGCACACCCTGCCATCAAATGGAATAAAGTTATCTGTATTTGTTTTTCAAGTATGTCTTCTCTAACAAGACTTCACAACCTAAAACCAAGGCTATATGAACAATTTAAGTATAACTATAAGAATTATGAAGCAATGTATTGATAAGGTTTATTCTAGGCTCACTTATAAAACACGTAGACCATATGGAATGCCCATACTACCGTCTAGTGGCTGGAGTAATTCAGCACACTTGTTGTCTTCCTGGTGCAACGTCATTGTTCCAAGCAGCCTGACACTGTGTTTTAGATTACTGTTTAATATTTCTGGTTTTGACCCTTAGCTTGTTCTTTATGTCACAGTATCCATGTTCCTTACTTTGATGGATGGACATCCATCTTTTTAGCATAGTATTTATTAAGATTATACTCAACACTCAGCAAAAATGTACATACAGAATGTTTTGGAGAATATTATCTTAAGCTCACCTATCCACACAGTTATGTTGCCTCGTTGCTAAGATGCAGTTTGACGAGATCAATTCAAATTCAAGTTTTCATAGTAAACAAAGCCAGATCTACACAGAGGCAATTTGAGTGACACATTGAGGACATTGTTTTAAAACAGGTCCAGAGCAGCCACAAAATACATACTATTTTTTCTTTCCTTTTCTTTTCCATTATCATGTTGTGTGCAACCTCAACTGTGTGCAGCCAAATATGTGAATTACAATCCAACAGAAGGTATAGTCCAGAATTTATATAGCACTAGGCTTACTATTACAATAACATTGAAATAAACATTCTAATATTATACCCATCACTTTTTTCATGAACATTCCAAATTGTTTTATTTTTGGGATATAACTCTATTACTGCAATAAAATTCAAAATGATTTTGCTATCCTGTTGACTATCATGTTGATTATACTCAAAAAAAGAAGCAACTACTTATGGACAATGGGTAAAATATGCCACCAATGGAGAACCTCCAGTAAACACACAGGAAGTCAGGGTTGGGTAAAATAAATTTTTATTGCTGATAAACACATGTAACATTTATCAATACAATGTGCATTGATTTTTAATATAAGTGGTCGGCATTACATTTTCGATGAAAGAACCACTTTAATATTGTGTTTTGGAAATGTATTGTTTATATTAAAGCATTTTGTTATAATTTTGCTTCATAGGCACATACCAAAATGAGGCATTTTCCAATATATGCGGAGGAAAACTCATAAAATCAAAAAAATTATTTTAAAGAGTAGATAGCAAATTCACCTATTACCATTGCTCTAAGCTAATCAAACTCTTAACATAATAAGACATAAGACAGGTAAGGGATAGATATCAGAAAAGGAGGTTCAACATGTCAGTAAAGAATAATTAAAAACAGATGAACTGTCAGCCATATACGAATTTCCCCCGCATTACCACGTTGCACTTTCTCGGAAACAACTAGGCTAGCAGTCAGCATTTTATCATGTTCATCATATATGTCATTATGGATTTAATTATTATTTATTATATACACGTGTATATCAAATGTAGTTGGATAACTATCTGTTTTGATCTTCATCAATAGATTCTCAACAAGCTTTTACTGACCAGTTTCTCCAAACATTTTTGTTGAATCTCATTTTCTTTTCATCATTCATTCCTACCTCAAGACTTTATCATCTTTATTCATGATATCTCTGTGTTTCTGTTTTAGTTTACATTTTTCCCATTTCTTAATGCAAGCTCCATCATAACATGGTTTCTAATGTTGTGTTCAACAAAGATATGTGGATGCACTGATTGTGGATTAGGGTATGTGTGGTGGTGTGTTGGTTGTATGTGCCATGAGGTGTTTCAATGCAAATATTTTTAAGGTGTCAGTTTATGGACTTGACCCAATGTTTATATGTCGGTGGGGTCAGTGACTGTTTTGAAGGTACAGTATATGTAATTTTGTCAGTTTATTGGTACCTTGCCTGCAGCCTTGCTAATGTTAACACTGGAATATAGGCAGTTCACAATTTAAGCATAATTACAACAATACTTAATGTTCTATATTAAATATGTCTAAAGGAACCTGGAATGACATATACTTCAGAGAAGGATCTCTGGCGCTATACAATTATTTTACAAAATGTCTCTAAGGGATAACATTGATTTATATTGTGCTGTTACGTTTTTTTTTAAGTCAATATTAAAACAAAAAAACAACAACAAATTATTAGGTACTCATTCCAAGCAGTTCTACAAAGGCTCAGTGTAAACACAGCAATGTTAGCTGATAAACTCCTTTGTGACAACTGATGTACAGTGTACATTGCCACAACTTATACACCCACTCCTGATGATAGATGTACCACGAATGCCGATTATCATCAGGTTGTAGTGAGGTTTCCCTTTAATGTTCTGATGTCATTTCTCTGGCATCTACCTTGTCCATTATCCATTACATGCTATTTAAGACCACATCATGACCTGCTCATCGCCCTTACAATGGTCTGTTGTTACCTGGGAGTGTGTTATTGATAGTGTTGCTCTTTTGGTTTTTGACTTTGTCCTGGATCTAGACTTCTCTGTTCTCCATTTTACGACTTGTTACTCATTATGTTGACCTTGTGTTTGGCCTGTCCTTGTTTATGTTCTGCCTGTTTGTCTGCTGTTTCACCATATGTGCACCATATTAAATCCAGCCATTATAAGGACAAGTAATACACGTCTGACCTGCCTTTTCTTTCTCTGGGGTAGTTCTGGTTAAGAGTCATTAGAATTCCTGGTATTGTGTCTCTCTCCCTATCTATCTATAAACTTATCAACCACAGGAACAGAGCAAGCCCTCTTTCTATCTCCACCGTCCTTGAACATCATTTATTTATGCAGGAATTAAGAAAGAATTGTCAAAATGATCCAATAGTATGGGGCGGGATAGCTTCCAGATATGGTAGTGAAAAAGAGGTGGATAAAAAGTAATAAACTCTGATCTAACTGAATCCTACATTTCTGTTCCAATCCAGTTTCAATTGCTTGCTGTGAAATCATATTCCATCTAAATACAAAAATAGAACATTTTGCAAGCTGAGAGTAAAATAAAGTGGGGCATGATTCGATGCTGAAGGCAATGCATTAAGAACTGATGGCGACTCATTTGATCCAATCAGTTCCTGATGCAGTATCTACAACAGCAAAATTTTAATTTTCCTCAACACACATCCTGAATGATAGAAACACAGCTCTCACAGATTCAATAAAAGTGTTATTATTTCACAAATATCATTTACAGATAATGTATGATCAGCATCTGCAAATCATTACAGATATTACAGATATTTATTTTCTGCATTCTGTTTAGTTAATACAAGCTGCACGTTCTGACATTTAGGTGTGTGTGCAGAATTATTGATCCATAAAAGCAAGTGAATCGCAGTGTTTAGCATAATCCCAGAGACCACTGTGAGATAATTTATTAACGGCTCACAGTTGCCAGCTGAGATTAAGCCAATTCACAGCCAGTTAGGTTAGTCCTGCAAGTGAATTCTTGTCAGTTGTGTTCCTTTTCAAAATTCTTTCTTCAGTAGGAATGGTTCCATTCTACTCATAAAAAAACACCTGGCAACTGCAATTTACAAACCTTTTAAATTCTTATTATTGATGCATTTCATTTGAGATGAAACAAAGTATTCACTCCACTAACAGCAATTAAATTAAAGTACAAACCGTTCCAGTTTACATACATGCTTGGATGGAGATATTACATCGGTTGAGGGTGAGTTAGCAAGGAAAGAAATACATTAAAAAATATTGTCCATATGGTGACCACGCCACTTGTATATCTAGAGACACTATTAATGCCATCAGTTAAGTTTTTTTTTTTTTTTCTAAAATAAAATGAAGGATACTGTTTATTTGAAATATAGGTTGCAGGGTAAACACTTAAAATAGGAATAAAATAGATAGTTTGCAAATATATTCATTTATTCTTTGCTTTGTTGGCAGAAAAAAATTCTGGTTCCTCGTGATGCAAAAGAGTCGTGTTTAGTCACTGCTTCCTCCCCTCCCATGAAATGAGAAATTTCTGATTATAGATGACTCAAGGACTTTGCATAGACTCATGTGGAGTTGTTTTCAAACTGACATCTTTCTTTAGGAAGGGAACTTGTCCTATTCTACATAGAAATATAATTATAGCTCCATCTGCACAACTGACTGTGAGTAACGTGGTGCCTTTGGTTTGCCCCCTTACCTTGGTCCCTGCTGGGCTCCTATGCTCCATGGTGGTCAAGTGAAGCCATAGCTGCTGCACAGAATTGACATTTGCCACCCCAGAACTAGGCTGATGACACTGCAGTGACGTTGCTGGAGGTGGAGTTACACCTCAGGAAGCAGAGGGGTTAAACTCTGTATGTGCAGAATTTTTAAAACAAAACACGGCACTTACAGAGTCTAGGCACTATGACCACAATAAATCACTGAAGTGGTCATGATACTTGGATTAACCCTTTAATAGCCTTAGTCCCTTGTGTCCTTGTACCCAATACAGACTCCATGCCACTATCATTTGCAATTTACACTTCTGAGAATGTAAAATTTGTCCAAAAAGTAGTTTCAGGTGCACTGGCAAGGTTATTTAAAATTCACAAAACTTAGAACAGCTTTGAATTCAAAGTGAATTCAAAGGAAATCTCAAATTTATTATCAAAATAGCAAACATTAAAACAAAATAGATTTTTTCCCCCCAAAAAATTGCTATTTTGGCTTAACATTTGAACTCACCTTGAATTCACGCCTTGGATTTACAGCAATTCTCACTTTATTGAATAACCCTGTAGGTGTTAAAAAGGTGAGAGCCCATGACACACAATTACTTTTGGTTATTGAACTGTGTTATATTTTGTCTTATATGTCCATATAACATGGCGCAGCATTTAGAATGCTTTAATGTCTTGATTTTTTTTTTCATTAAAATGACCATTTTTATATGAGGATTTTCCCCCAAATGTATTTATTGCAGAAATTGTCCTCTATTATAATTGACATATATTCACCAGAAACTCATGCATGTAAACTGAAATTTTTAATTATGTTGAGCTTGTTATTTTAGGGATAACATTGTTTGAGCTCATACTTCAAATTCTTCACAAATCTGTGATGAAAGTTTTAAGACTTGCCGTAACAAGTTCAAACACAGATTAGTTTATAAATCAGGCATCTATTAAATTACAACGGCCACGTTATAAAATTGCTTGATTTGATTGTAAATGAATTGGACTGCAAAATCAAATTAAAACATGCAATCCCATCTGTTTTACAATTTAAGATAATATTAGTCATGGTGTATGTGGAGGTTTGTAGCTAAAGGTGTTGTGGAATAATTACTAGAAGTGATAAATAGAGTGAAAAATTATGTGAGAAATCCTACCCATTTTAGAAGTAATTTTATAAATTGAAAATTAGGATTAATTGGATCAATTCTAGCCCAATCACCGTCAAAATTCAATTTTTTGTTAAAAAATTAGAACTTGACTTAAAGGATCACTTTTGTGTCAGGAACACAAAAGTATTCCTAACTCTATTGTGTTAAACTAACTATCAAGCTTTCCTCCCCCCCTCAGATTGCTTTCAATAGGTTTTAAACTTATCTTTTCTCCCACGCCGTGTTGTTCTTGCCGTGGCTTGCCCCGCCTGGTCCTGCTTTGTTGCTAAGATCAGTGGCGGAACTACTGCAGTTGCAGAGTCGCAGCTGCGACCGGGCCCATCACTTCAGGGAGCCCGGCCGCTCCCTGTGACCGGAGCAACTGGCAGGGCAGCAATGAAGGCACCCATCGGGTGGCCCGTGCTCTTGTAGCCAACCGATGGCAATGGATTTCCAGTCTTTCCTGCAAGACTTTAAGAGAGCGACCGGGCCCCATTGATGACATCAGAGCGCTCGTTGGGAGGAAGCCGTCACTTCCTCCCAGCATACACAGAGTCCTGTGGGAGGAGACCACCGGGGAGGATAGGAGGGAGTCAGAGTGGGAGCTCTGACTCTCATCTGCATTAGGCAGCCACTGGACCCCAAGGAAGTCACCCATCTGCACCTAAAGGTAGGAAACAGGAGGGTGACTACAATTTTTGTGTGTGTGTGTGTGTGTGTGTGTGTGAATGTCTGTGTCTGTGTTTGAATGTCTATGTGTTTCTGTATGTGTGTGTCTGCATGTGTGTGTCTGTATCTGTATATTTGTGTGTGTGTATGTGTGTGTGTAAAATATAAAAAAAGTAGTAATTTAAGCTTCAGGAATTGGCACAGTAATGTGAAAATGTTGTATGTGACTGTGTTCTGTTTGTAGATATAAGTTTGTGAGTTTATGAGACAGTGCAAGTAGGGAAATGTGGCTGTAGGGAGACTTGCTGTTGCTGTTGGGGAGATATATTAGGGTAGGGATAGGCAACATTCAGCACGCCAGATATTGTGGACTACATCTACCATAATGTTCTTATAGTAATAATACTGGCAAAGCATCAGGGGAGATGTAGTTGACATCATCTGGAGTGCCAAAGGTTGCCTTTGCCTGTTATGGGATGTGGCTATGTGAAGGTTAACTGTAGGGATATGACTTTGTGAAGACGTACAGTCAAATGATTTGGCTATAGGGAAAACTTTGCAGAACATGGCTGGGGGGTCAAATTGGAGGCATAAGGTTGGGGTTATTGGACGAATATGCCAATTACAATGTATACACTAGTGGTGTGTGACCTACCGAGATATTCAATCAATGCTCTGAATTGTGGTGGATGGATATCATAGCGGGAAGAGAGGACACTCAAATCCTGTCTCCCTTTTGTAAAGAATATGTAAGTACTTTTGCAATTTTACCTTATTTATTTTATTTAAAAGAACACTTTTAGCAAAGCAATCTGCTGCCTTTGTAAGCCCCCCCTTCTAACCCTGATAAGACTTTCTGTAACTACCCAATCACTGACTTCTCAATACAGCTCAATGACAAGTCTTTGCAAAGCAGGTGCTCTGTGCAACTGCTGCCTCTTGAGTTTAGCTCTACTGAGCTAGACAACCAGGAAGTAGCATGCCCTGTTGTCTGCTTGAAAGCCAGGGGGTATAACTAGGTTAAATTATAAAAGTGTCAATTTTTCAAAAAAAAAAGGACACACTCTTTACAGAAAAAGCTTTTCCGTAAGCTAAAGTGCTTTAGGGGTCTTGAGTGTCCCTTAACCCTGCAATATAAATAGTTTCTCTGAAACTGAAATGTTTTAGATTGGATGATTAAGGTGACAGGGACAGTGCATGCAGACCACTTCAATGAGATGTCCCTTTTAAGATTTTTCTTTTTTTATTTAAAGAAACACTGAACTCACTATAACTACCTCATCATATTGATTTGGCTATAATGCCTGGAGTCCCTGACACTGTTAAACCAGTTTCCAGCACTCTAGAACTAAATAAGGGTCCCTTAACACCCAAACCTAGCTACTGGAGGTATGGCTAAGACAGAAAACCATACCCATGCATACCAGCATTGGGTGCTGCAATAGGCTGCAAGCAGTTAGCGGGAACTCTTAGCCAATCACAGGCATTCTGTCAATCTGTGTTATTCATTGTTGATTAAGTTAATGCCTCTTTGTTAGCTCAAACAGCACAGAGGGGATGGCTGCTGGGGTCTCTCATTTAGGATTAAAAATATAAAATTGGTTTATCCACGAAGGATGGCACAAAGGGAGACCAGACACTGTGATCCCTCCAATCAGATTAAGCAGTTACAGTGTCTACAGTGTTCCTTTAAAAAAAAATTGAGCCATCAAACGTCCATTTGATTCTAGTGTGCAAAGAAAAATCATCAAATGACAAGTTAAATTAAAAGAAAAGCAATACATTTTCTCTTTGAGGCCCTAAAATAGATAAAAGCCTGACATATGTATAATAGGTTTCTAGAGCACAAATATAAAATGTACTGGTTGATTTGTAAGCAGCTGACACATTCAATGAGGAAGAATCTGGTCACATAAGGTTTAATGTTAGATATAAATGTAGTTTTTATCCACGTAGAAATCCACATATAAATGGTAGCTAAACCAGAATGAATGAAAATTGCAAGACAGTTGAAAAAAAGAAGAAAAATAAGTTTAAGAGATAGAATCTAATGATGTGATCAACTGTGTCATATTTAATATAAATATGTGAGAGTAAAAAAACCAAAATGT